TGTAGCAGTGTCCTATGGCCTGTGGAGACTGAGAAGGATGGGCACAGAGGATTCTAACAGTCGTCCCCGAATTCTGTAGCCCAGGCTAGATTAGAACTCACTACATAGCTCAGGCTGGCCTTGAACTTGCCTCAACATCCTGACTTAACGGAGATTATTGTAGTGAGCTGCCATGCTGGGCTCTGACTGCCCCCTTGATCCCTCCAGAGTTGTGACCGTATCAAGCAGTCGGCTTCCGGGACAAAGCGCCGTGTGTTCATTGTAGAGACCATGGGGGGCTACTGTGGCTACCTGGCCACTGTGACAGGCATTGCCGTGGGTGCGGATGCTGCCTACGTCTTTGAGGACCCTTTCAACATCCACGACTTAAAGGTGAGCCCAGCCCCGCTCCTGTGCTCTGTAGCCACCCATGGGTCTGACTAGCCCTCCGAAGCACTTAGTGGGTGTCAGCAGGTTCCATTTTTAAGTAGTGTGTTTTAGAGTCCTGGCCTCGCCCTCGCCCTGAGGCTGCTGGGTCCCACGCCTGCCCACCTCTTAGCTTACCGCCTTTCCTTCCCAGGCTAATGTGGAGCATATGACAGAGAAGATGAAAACAGATATCCAGAGGGGCCTGGTGCTCCGGTGAGGCTGCTGTGGGTGATGGGCAGAGCGGGCACAGGGACTGGGAGTTGAAGCTACTCTACCATGTCTGGCCTGGGGGCGGGGCGAGGGGTGAGGCCAGAGTTGGGACAGCCCTGACAGCCTTGTATGTCTCCACAGGAACGAGAAGTGTCACGAACACTACACCACAGAGTTCCTATACAACCTGTACTCCTCGGAAGGCAGGGGTGTGTTCGACTGCAGGACCAACGTGCTGGGCCACCTGCAGCAGGTACAGCTCTGAGGGCGGTTCCCTGGCCCCTGCCGCACCCGTCTGCCAGGGATCCCATCTCCATCCCCATTTTCTTCTCTGGGGAACCTGGGAGGACCCTTGAGGGAGAGGCTTTGTGCATGGTCCCAAGAAAGTACTTGCCGAGCTATTTTTCTTTTCTTTTTTTCTTTTCTTTGTTTTCCTTTTCTTTTTTCTCTTCTTCTTTCCCTTTCCTTTCTTCTTTCTTTCTTTCTTCCTTCCTTCCTTCCTTCCTTTCTTTCTTTCTTTCTTTCTCTGTTTTTCTTTTCTTTTTTTTTTTTTTTTTTTAATTCTCCAGCACTCTTGGGAACTGGCTGACTGTTCCCGTTACTCTTTCATGGAGAGAGTACTGAAGCCCATCTTTTAGTTCTCACCTTAGGAGGGTGGGGCTGAGACCCAAACCTAGCACTTGAGCTCTGGACTAAGACCTCCTCTTCTGGGAGGTGGCCCGAGCCCCTGTCATTCTGTGACTATCTCCTCCCTGCCTCCCGTCTCGCCTACTAAGTAGACCCTGTTGTCTCATGGTGGCTTTCAGGAGGCCTGGGGTGGGGCCATTCCCTATGGCGCCTGTGGCCCAGGTGTCATTTCTGGCCTCTGGGGTGGCTTCTAGGTGGTGCTTTGAGGCCCTCAGGTGGTCATACTCATTGCAAAGATACATGGAGACAGTCATGGCTCATGTGGCCTAGGACCCCCTTTGTGTCAAGTGTCCTCCTCTGGGCCTTGGTCAGCTCCAGGGTTTTGTCTGTTTCCAGGGTGGTGCTCCAACCCCCTTCGACCGGAACTATGGGACCAAACTGGGGGTGAAGGCCATGTTGTGGATGTCGGAGAAACTGCGTGATGTCTACCGCAAAGGTGGGTGGGGTGGACTGGCCTGACCTGGCTCTCTGAAGGTCTCCGGAGGCTTGGACTTGAGTACCACGAATCTGTTTTCATAGGGCGGGTGTTTGCCAATGCTCCGGACTCAGCCTGTGTGATCGGCCTGAGGAAGAAGGTGGTGGCCTTCAGTCCAGTCACAGAACTCAAGAAAGATACTGATTTTGAGTAAGTCCTTTTGGAGCTGAGTGGAGAAGGGAGGGCCCTGGGAGACCCAGAACTTTCCTGCACAGGGTCCCTACCAAGCTTTGAAGAGCAGGAGTCCGTGTGTTCAATGGCCAGCCCTGGGCAGTCTGGGGAGGGTTTGTGATTCTTGCATCAGAGTCTACCTCAGAGGCATTTCCCCTTACCCCCAGCCAGAGGAATGGGGCACCCAGATGTACCCTGTAGGTCACAAGAACAACTAGGTATGCAGGGTTTAAAGGATTGTGGGATTCGGTTCTGTAACTATCTGACCTTGACCTTCTCAGGCACCGTATGCCCCGGGAGCAGTGGTGGCTGAATCTGCGGCTGATGCTGAAGATGCTGGCACACTACCGCATCAGCATGGCAGACTACGTGTCCGGGGAGCTGGAGCATGTCACACGCCGCACCTTGAGCATAGACAAGGGCTTCTGAGCTCACCACCTGCACTGTTCCTGCTTTCCTGGACTCTCCCTCCTAGTGCTAGCCACAGATCCCAGCACCGAGGGGACTCACGTGGGCCTCGGAGCCCACGGCTGGCTGAGGGATGTGGGGATCTACTGTGCTGCTCTGGGGTTCCTCCCTTAGCCCTCCACCCTCACCCCAGGACAGAGCACCTGTGGGGCCCTTACCTTCCAGTCCTGGCTGGGGCAGACCCACATTGCCTCTCCCTCACTGGCCGCCTGGCCGCCTGACCACACAGCTGAAAAGAGCCTCACCTTTTTTTAGAAATAAAGTCACCTGTCTAGAGCATGGTCACCGGGACGACATGACCTGACAGGTCCAGGGAGAGGGTCCTCAGGACTCGGGTGCAAACCTTACCCACGGCTATTCTATAAGACTGGATTTTAGGAAACCCTCTGGGAAGGGACTAGGAAGACCTGAGTCCTTAGCTCTGCCTGAAGGGCTGAAGAGAGCTACAGACCCTCGTGTGGACCCCATACCTGCCCCTGAATGACTGAGTATCAGCCTGGGGGCAACGGACCCGGGTCTGGAGGGGAAACTGTCACTGTCACTCTAGTGTAGTCTCGGCTGGTTGCTGGCCCCCAGGGAGGTTCTCAAGGCCTGGAGGCTAGCTCCTTAGAGAAGTCTGTGAAGGGATGAGCCCTAGCCAACCCCACCTCAGATTCCTCTCTAATCCATTTATCAGGGTTTGTTGCCTGAGCCACCGCTGGGTCCATCCTCCACAGTGCTGGAGTTGTACAATATTTACAATAGGTGGAGGCTGTTTCCAGCCTCTGGTGTATGGAGGTCAAGGGTTTTGACTTTGGCTTTGTAGGTCTGCAGGCCACATTGGGGCGGTGGTTTCTCTGGGTAGGAATCTCCCCCTGGGTCACTGTAAGGCTTCTGTGGGGTTATCACAGGCCATGTACCCAGCTGCTTCATCTGGCTGGAGCCCCCCAAAGCTGCTGAGAGGGGAAGTCCTGGAATGATAGGTATTATCACAGCGTCCTGGAGGGTTTGGTCTCGAGCCCACATGGCAGCAAGGCCTGCATATTAGGGCTCTGTAGAAACAGAACCAGTAGAACTCTGTGTGTGTGTGTGTGTACACTGTAAAAGTGGATTCACCAGACTGGCTTACACAAACGGGCTTGGCACCCTAATTGTCTTACTGCTGTGAATAGATGGGGTGACCACAGCAGTTCTTATAAAGGAAAACATTTGACTGGGGCTGACTTACAGATCAGAGGTTTAGTGCATTACCAGCATGGCGGCATGCAGGCAGCAGACGTGGTGCTGGAGAGGTAGCTAAGAATTCACCATCTGGATCTGCAGGCAGAAGGAAGAGACAGTGAGCCACTAGGCCTGGCTTGAGCTCCTGAAACCTCAAAGCCCACCCCACAGTAGCAGACTTCCTCCAATAAGGCCACACCTCTTAATAGTGCCACTCCCTATGGGGGCCATTTTTATCCAGACCAGGTCAATAATGACCATCTGCTTGCTGGGGAGGCTCTGCTTGCTGGGGAGGCTGAGGGCCTGGAGGATCTTCAGTACACACTGGAAAGTCAAAGTTGGCTTCCGACAGTCAGCAGAGGCTGGTGGCAGCGGCAAACTGGGCTGGCAGACAGCACTGCTTTTTCTTGGACCACCTAATATCTGGGCTTCCTGCTAGGAGGTGCTGCCACTCTGGAGAGGGCTTTCCCCCTCACTAAGCCTTCCTGGAAATAGCCTCATAGGCCATTGTAAGACCTCTTACTAATTCTTCAGGTTAACTGGCAGGCTCAGGACTGCTGGGGGATACCTGTGCTTGTTCCAGAGTCACCATCGATGTCCACAACTGTTAGTGTGTTCTCCCTCCATCCAAAGCAGCTCTGGGGACAATGGCAGGCTGTAGTTGGACATCTGAGGGTTAGAGCAGTACCTATCAGGCCCCTTGCTCAGCCTGGGCGTCTGCTACACAGGGGGTTCTGCAATGAAGGGCTAGATCTGGAAGATTCAGAATAGGGAGATCCAGACAGGACCTGTGTGGCTCATTTGGTTCATGGCCAGGTGGGGTCAGGTCATTGTCTTGTGCCTCCGTCTGTCAGCGTGGTCTCAGTTCTCAGGATGGAGTCCCTGCTAGATTCAGTGTCTACCTGCTTGGCTGTAACAGGGCTTTGGGCTCTGGTGATAGCAATGGCTTCAGGTACAGAGCAGCCATCTCTTACCTCTCTTTTCTTTGCCACATCCACCCTTCCAGGAGTTGACACCCCCAGCCTTAGCTGTCCCTGCTGTGAGTTGGATGGGAATGCACCCCACCCTTGTGATACCAATTCCTCTTTTGCTCAAGGGGCTAGATCTGGAAGATTCAGAATAGGGATGAATGCCCCATGCTCAGCTCCAGGTAGGGATACATGCTGTGCTTTAGCTTGTCCCCAGTCCAGGCAGGGGCTGGGGATCAGGGATTGGGGGCTCGGCACAGCTGGCAGTTTGCCCATCCCTGAGGTATACGTGAGTGTACCACAGGAGGATGGAAAGCTAGGACGTTACAGGCATGGGGTGTGGTCCTGAGGGAACCTGCTGGCATTTCAAGAATCTTATGTCCTGGAACGAGGAACTGGATGGGGACACAGACGCTGGTAGAAACAGTTTATTAAGAGAGAACGTACTCCCAAGTTTGGAAGTGGGCCAGTGGTGGAGCAGGGCCCAGCTGCCCTGAACCTTCAGCATTAAGGTCACCTACAGAGCCAGCTATTGTATGCGGCAGGCTTCCTGGACATGGTCTACCTGTCCCTTGGCCCTTCTAGACATTTTTTGCTCAGATTGTCTTGCGTATGCTTATCTTGATGCCTTTCTTGGTTCATTCTCTTGTGGCAGGTGTAAGGTCACCCCAGGGCACTAAGGTGGCCCTGCCTGGGTAAGCTACGGGGCCTCCCCCAACCGCTCTAACAAAGGCAACTTTATTGATGGATCTGGCGCTTCACAATGCTGAGCGATCCTGGCTGTCCCCAACGGTCACTCTACCTAGGTGACATCCCTCTCCTGAAGAAGAGAGAAAAGGACAGTGTCCTGCCCAGCCTTGTCCTGAAAAAAAAAAAAAAATCCGATCTCTCAGGCCATGTCTAAGGACACCTGGGACACAGTGCCCTGTAAGATAGTCCAGGCCTCTCCGAGGCTAGGCTTGATACAGGGGTACTAGGGCTCCCCCTAGTGGCTGAGAAACGACATGACCCTCGACATCAAGGCCCTGAGACTCCTGTCCCAGACCTTCCAGCCCAAACAGAAAGTGCTTTATTGGAGGAGGGTATGGCTCCTTCAGTCCTCCCTTGAGGAAGGGTCAGACAGTGCCCAGAGCTTCAAGGCTTCAGCAGGTAAGTCCCAGGGACCATGCTGGCGGGCAGCATCTCTGCCAGCCCTAAGCACAGGAGAGGGGTCTGCGTAGCTGGCAGCCACTGCGCCTGCACTGGCTTGGTGTCGGGAACACGGAGGAAGGCTTTCCAGGTAGAGCTGTATTTCCTCAGGACATAACAGGACAGGTCCAGATGCATGGGCGTATGAAGTCACTCCATGTCCTCCTGGGGCTCTAGCCTGTGCAGTGCCTGTAGCCGGCTGCCCACAGTCTGCTGGACGGCCTCCAGCCCCTCCGTATCCAGCTCCCGAAGAAGCAGTAATATGGCGGTCAGGATGTTCTGGGGACAGAAAGAATGACCTGGAACCTGGCTGGTGGCATCCTTTACAGGGTAAACAGTCTCAGGCCTTCCAGGCAGCCACGGTGCAGACACTGGTACGCTGTCTCCCTATCCAGTTACAGCCAGGCTTGGGTCTGAGGGTCCTATGACCCTCAGAGTGGTATTCTCTCATAGAAAGTGGTGGAAAAGGGTGTTTCCAACCCAAAGATGAGAGACATGGATGGCTGAGGGGTGGCACCCGTGGCTCACCGGGAGGAACAGGTCAGAAGTGAATAACTTACTTTAGCTCTGACCCCTGACCTCTGCGGCACACGAAGGCCTCTGCAAACCCCTATGTGTGTCCTTGTTTATAGATGCGGGCCCAAGGGCAACCAGCTGCAAGGTGGACCTTGTTCTGGGACAGGAGTCCTATTCTAGCTGCAGGGAGGAGGGTGCCTGCCTGGCAGGCGTGGGTAGACAAGTGTCTTCTGGAAACTCTCTGTTGAGCAACTGAGGACCTGGTGAGGGACGGACGGGAGCCTGTGAACACAGCTGTGCTCTTGGAATTGAATGTGTGCACGCGTGTATGTTACATGTGTGTGCATATGTGTGTGTGTGTGTGTGCGTGGTATGTGTGCATGTGCGGCGTGCACGTGAGTGTGTGTGATGTATGTGATGTGTGTGTGCAGTATGTGTGTGTGGCACATACGTGGGTGTGCATGGTATGTGTGTGTGTGTGTGGCATGTGTGTGTGTGGCGTATGTGTGTGTGTATGTGTGGTGTGTGTGGTATGTGTGTGTGTGGCACATATGTGTGTGTGTGTGTGTGTGTGTGTGCTGGGGTAGGGGGCAGCAGCAAGTGGAGAGGAACGGGATCCTGAGGGGACAGTGACCTAGTGAGGTGGAGCTCCCGCATGCTGGAGTGGGAAGCAGAGGTGAGCTTGGGTGCTGTGGCAGACACACTTGCCTCACGTGCTCAACTCCTCCTATGAGCTCAGACCTGATCCCACGTTATTCCCACCCACGGGAGCCTGCCTTCTGCTGTCTGGAAAGAGGGGCAGTGGTCACTCACCCTATTCTTGTGACTCTTCATAGTGTCCCTTGGTGAGAAGGAAGGAGACTGGTCTGCAGCAGTCCGGCCCTGGACTCTGTGGGTGAGAGGGAGGCACTGAGGGTGTGACAGTCACAGGGCTCCGAGCACCACTACCTGTGTGTCAAGGCACACTGGCAGGGGGTCCCAGCCCAGGGAGGGAGACAGACAACAGGCACTCTCAATCTAGGTACCTTTATAAGAGCAAAGGAGCCCAGCATGCAGACTAGGGGCCCAGAGCCACCCAGAGCAGCTTCTCTGTGCCCAGGGCTCCCACCAACAATGCTTTCTCCCCAGGGAAGGCACAGAAGTGACCCTGCCAGAGCAGAACAGTGGACCGTGGCCACTCCCACAGAGTTCGTCTCCAGTGCGTCAGCTGTGGCCCTCTAAAGGACCCATGGCCTAGTGTGCACAGACAGGTTCCTGAGGACACTCCCCTTCCAGAAGGAGACAGGAAGCCTCCCTCTCATGGCCTGAGGATGCCCTTGGGACAGTGGTCTTGCTCCCCTACAGACTCACTCTGTCTCCTCTGTGTACAGCAGGTTCTGGCTGGTCTCAGTGGCAGAGCTGACAGAGCTGAGGGTGTAGGGGGGCTTGGGACAGCCATTGCCTGCGCCTTCCCTGCCCGGGGCAGCAGTAATCTCATCTCCCTCCAGCAGAGCGCGGGTCAGCTCTTCCTCCGTCACGGCTTGAGGAGAAGGAGAGGAAGGTAAGGGTGTCCGCCCTGTGCGGTACGGGCTCCATGCAGCGCCTCCTGGGGCTTCAGCATGTCTACTGCTGTGTGCGCCGTGTGCTGGGGAGGGTGGAGGCGCTGTGTCTGGGGACAGTCAGACCTGCTCCTTCCGATCCCCAGTCCCAGAATGTGTATGACACCAGGCAGAAGGGCGGGGTATGCTTGTGAACCCCAGGTGCAGCATCTTCTAAGAGCAAAACCTCCAATCCAGATAAACCTGTGTGGTGCCGGGGTTGGGCCCAGGGCCCCACACACGCTAGTGGGCTCTCTGCCATCAGACTGGAAATTTTAAAAGGAATGGAATTTGCATATTTACCCTGCTTCACTTCTCGCTTAGTAAGTGTCTGGGAGAAGCCAGCTGCACGTAACTGAGGAGGATCAGAGACCGTTAAGCACATCACCTCCACTGGAGAGATGGCTCAGTGGTTAAGAACACTGACTGACTACTCTCCCAGAGGTCCTGAGTTCAGTTCCCGGCAACCACATGGTGGCTCATAACCATCTATAATGGGATCTGATGCTCTCTTCTGGTGTGTCTGAAGACAGCGACAGTGTACTCACATACATTAAATAAATAAATCTTAAAAAAAAAAAATCATCTCATGGAAGTCAGTGAGATAGACCCTGGGCATGGTGTGAGAACAGTGTGGCTTGAGGCCTGGTTGCCAGCTGAGACCACCACATGCTGCCTGGTCACTGGGCATCCTCACCATGGCACAGGGATTTTCCTTGTGGAGGGGGCAAAGGGAGGAGCCTGTGAGGCACAGAAGCCCAGGTGGGGTTACCAGCCCTGAGGTACTAAACCCCGCAGTGGGGCCTACCTCAGGGTGGGTGGACATGCCAGAGCCTACCTTGGTTGTCCAGCTTCTGCAGGTGGGGCAGGTTACGCAGCACAGTCATGCGGTAACGGTGCGGGCTGGTGCCACAGCACGGGTTCTCAGCCAGCCAGAGCACCCTGAGGTGTGGCAGGTCCTTTAGGTAGAACAGCTCATTCAGAGTGGGGATGTGGTTCCTCCTCAGGTACAGCTCACTCAGGCGGCGGCAGCCGCGCACAGGTTCCAGGGTGGAGACGCTGTTGACGCTGCAGGGGTCAGCACACTGTCAGGGACACATACGGTCTGGACCTCCGTGGGCCAGCGGCCTCCACCTGTGGGCCTGCGGCGTCCACCTGTGGGCCTGCCTCACACATGAGTACCAAGGGAAGGTCTCCGCCTTAGAAATGGTTCAGCAGGAGCCCCTCAACCCAAGACACCATGTGGGCAGCTCCTTGGCCTGGAACCCTGCATTCACATGGAACCGTTGTGACAGATAGGATGTGTCACCCTCCTTCAGAGATGACATTGGTCCCCAGGAGGCACACTTAGCCCCACAGGTACTGGCTAAAACTCAGCAGAAATGCCCACAGTCTCCATATCACACATAGACCAAATCTGATTTCCAGAATCCCAGGCTAGAGAGAAACGGGATTTTAGGGTGATTTCCACCCCATAGGAAAGTGTGGAGACACGGGAGGGAAAGCAGTATCCACTAACCCCCAAAGTCCCCACCAACACACCCAGTCTTTACACACGGGGTTCTTCTCAACAGCAGCCAAAGACTCTACCTCCCAAAGCCAGGGCCTGGCCTGCTGAGCCAGCCCTACCCATGCTCCCTGCACGGATGCCCTGGTGGGTGACATGCTCAGAGCAAAGTCCCCAGCACCATGCTGACACAGAGAACACACCCATGCCAGCACCTGGCAGGCAGGCGGTAGGGGCCGTAGTGTCAGCCCTATTCTGGACGCCAGGATGGGCAGGAGAGAATTTAGGGATGGAGGAGCTCCCAGAGGTGATAGAATCAGGAAGGCAGGGGAGATAGGGTACTGGGGGTTTTGGGGACAGATGTGGCCACAGGGAGGACTGACCTAGTCGGAGTCTCTGGATTTCCTGTTTTTCCTACATCCCATAGGAAAGCTATGAGGCTCCCCAGTGCTTCCATGCCCCGGGACAACAGTGACATGGCAGTCACCTACCTGAGTGTGATCACCTCCAGGCTGGGCATCTCCCGGCATATGGAAATCTAGGGAGGGAAGAACGGCCGGTGACAGTGTTAGCAACAACAGTGTCGTCACTTCTCAGGTCAGGGGACACACATGTCCCGGGTCCTGTCACCTGCACTAAAGGGGCTGAGGGCACACAACCAGGGCTCTCAGAAGAAATCAGCCATATGCTGGTCTCTGTGGTCCAGCCTGCCCTCGGGGTGCTGTACACTGGGTGTCTCTACCTGACAGTTTACAACAGTTCCAGACACGGAACCTCATTACAGTCAATGCCCTCTGAGGATGCCTGGCCAGGGATCTTGTGGTTTAGTGAGATGCATAACCTTTTCTCTTGCTTCTCCCAAGGCACAAAGACAGACAGACAGACAGACAGACAGACAGACATTCTCCTTGCCAATGGAGCTGGGCTCAAAGCAGACAGAACTACAGCTAGGTTTTGGCCACAGCACATCATCAGATCTGTGGATGAGACCTGGAGTGTGGGCTCCACAGTCCCAGCTGCCTGTCATTTAGGGTGTGGGGTTGGGGTATAGCCTCCTGAAACTGAGGGGAGGCCATGCAGACTGCCTCTGTTGATGTCCTTGAGGAAGATCACCACCCGGGACTCCTCTCAGTGCAGAGCGTTGACTCTGTTCTCCTCTGTGACATGGCAATGTGCCAAGGACCACGGTTCCGTAACTTTAGCTATTCTTCTGGGGGAAGGGGCATCTGGGAGATATCCAGTCAAGGCAGAACTTACATCTGTGAGCTGGCTGCCCCTGAAGAAGAGAAGAAATATACTTTAACTTGTTGAATGAAAATATATATATACATATATATAAATCTTCCAGAGAAATGAGATTGTCTATAAATCTAAAGATTGATTCTACATTCGGAACAGCGCAGTAAGGAAGGCTGGTTGCCCAGATAATGGGGAAAGGTATCACAAATGGTTAGGTTGGTTTCTGCCAATACTACGTGCTCGATGCATGGGGGTACAGGGTTTACTTCTCTCAGGCTCTCAGAGCAGAAAGCTGTTTCCGGTCATACAAATAAACAAAGGAGTCTTCATAAAAGTCCAAGCTCAAAGGCTGATCATGAAACTTAGGAAGCAAACTACACAGGCCTGCAATATGGCTGTTGTTTCTGCCTACACAGAGGGAGCCCTGATGTGTTTGCTGGCTCAACAAAGAAAGGCATTATTGAAAACCCAGGACAGAGAGGACTGTGGTCCGGGACACCAGATGTGCCAAGACAGAGAAAGGCTTTTAATTAACAAAGCTCACTCCTTCCAGTAGCCTGCTGATCCAACTAGAAGCAAGGGTCTACACTTGCTCTACCCCTTCTAGATGCCACAGCATCCCACCTGAGTCCCCAGAGACACCTGTAGCTCTTTCACACCCCACTAATACAAACTCCTCAGAAGCCCAGGGCTTTCGGTACTAGTGTCACCCAGCCATGCAACTTTGAGCGCATCCATATAATAGTATCTAAATTTTAGGCTGTCACCCACACCAGGTCACCCTCGCCAGCATCTAAGTAACTTAGACATGCCACTAAACACTTTTGACTTCAGATACCAGACATAGTCACAGAGGGTTAGTGAAAACCCCGTCAGCGAGACTAGAGGGATAGTTAGACTATCCTGCGAGGGCCGCACCCCTCTGAGGCGCTTGCCCCAGAGTGAGCCTGCAACCTAGCTAGCCTGGGGCAGCAGGCGCTCAGCGCGGCCGCCGCTTCCTCCCGCGTCTGGCTGGCCTCACCAGCAGTTGAGCTTCCGCACGTTGTGCAGCTCCGAAGCCTTGGCTCGGGACAGGACCATCTTTCGTGTCAGCTTCATGGTGGCCGCAGGGCCGCGGGCCCGGCCGCCCTCCGCTGTCCACTCCGCTAGCCCTAGAGGCCTGCCCCGCGGCGCGTCTCCAGGGGCGGGGCCCGCGTCTCTAGGGGGCGGAGCCTGAGGTCCCATTGGCAGCCAGGAGAGAGGGCGGAAGCGCGCGGGCGCAGCGGCACGGCCCGACTTCCGGGATACGAGGCTCCGCCTCACCCCTTTGGCGGGCTGCCCACCCTGCGCGTGCGCGAGGCTCCGGGCTTCGCTGCCTGGGGACCGCTGGCCGCCGCGTCCTGTGTGCGCGTGCGCGGGAAGGGCGGCCCTTAGGATTCCAGGGTGCAAGAGTCTGAGATGGGCTGGCTGGGGTGAGACATGCGCGGGATCCTGGCAGGTCTCGGGGACATCGAGAAGGACAGACCAGGTCAGCCCGGGAAGGGTGACAGAGTCCTCGTGTGGGATGCTTGCCGAAACCCCTCCTGGGCCGCTTTGCTCCGGATCGTCATCCCTGCCGTGGCCGTGATGGTCTCCACTGCGCCCTCGCCCATTTCTGCTTGAGCCCAAACCGGGGATTTGTGTTACAGCTAATACACTACCAGGCGATGGCTCGCACTTGTAGTTGCTGCACTTAGAGGTTGAGGCAGGAGGATTGCGTGAGCCAAACGATTTCCGGAAAGACTGGGTTACAGAGAGAGACATTATCTCAAAACACAGAGCCGAGTCGTGGGGGTTTGGGGGAGAGGCTGGATAAACAGAGCGCTGGCTGCTCTTGCAGGGCGTTCATCTGGCCGGCTCACAACCTTCTGTAAACTCTAGTTCCGGGGATCTAATGCCCTCTTCTGGCCTCCTTGCGCACCAGATAGGTCACTTGAGTTGCATACATACATGCAGAGCACAACAGAAAACAAACAAACAAACAAACAAACAAAAACCCTTAAAAAAACCCAAATAAAAAATAAACTTTATGTTTTTGAAAGTCTCCCGATTCTATGCCTGTGGTTGTCAGTGTGCGTCGTAAGTAATCACAAATGATTTTTTGTTTGGTTTTCTTCTGGAGAGCCTAGCTCGGTGTTTAGTTTTAGGTTGAAAACTTCGTAATTTTTCCTAGCCTACAGATTACACCGGGACAGTCGCTGGGTACTTCAGACCCTTTAGGTAATAAACTGTCCGTGATGAAATATTCTAGGGCTCCCCTCTGAGCTCTTTTTAACCATTTGATCACCCTGGTCTACCTTTACCAAAAACTAGTGAAATGGTTCAGTCGGTAAAGGTACTGGCAGCACAAGCCTAAGAACCTGAATTTACTTCCTGGGACCCACAGTGGGAAGAGAGAGCAGACTGAAGATTTATCCTCTGGCCTCCACGTGCTCACCATTCATTACCATTAGGAACAATAAGGCCTGAACTGAAAGACACAGGGAACAGCTCAGCCTAACCAATGTGGTGGGAAGGTTTTTATAGAATCAGTTCAGCTGAGCTTAAAGAGGTCCTCTGGCCACTCCAATGGACGCCATGTGGGAAAGACATGGATGATGGAAAAAGGGCTGAGACTTTGAGGAGTGTCTGACAGGAAGTGGGCATCTCCTAGTCGGCCTTTTATCCTGGAGAGACCTTTGGTGGAGTTGTATCACATTGTATCACATTGTATCACATTGTATCAAGTGCAGGTGCTGAGCTGAGGGGAGCCGGGGAAGTGTGGAGTTGCTACCCTGTTCAACTTTGGGTTTGTCTTCCCTAGCTCTCCCCCCTCTACTACCTAGACAGGAATGGCCAAGGTACAGGGGCCATACTGGTAGAGAGTGGGCCAGGTCAGGTTGTAGGGCAGGCCCTGGTTCTGTAGCTCTTCCAGTCTTAGTGTCTGGCCCTTTCCCACTGATATCTCCATGGAGACTTCCCTGTAAAAGGCTATTTATTCCTGGGGATTTTTGATAGGGGCCGGGGCCTGAAGAAAGAAGTTCTGCAGAAGCGTGGTACCCTCTAGGTTTGATGGAAGCAGCAGACAGCCATACCCAATGGAAACAGTGAGAGTCAAGGAGCCCGAACAGCTGCTAGACACAGTTCCAACAAAGCTGAGCAGATTGCTGCAGTCGCTGTCCTCCTGTCTCTAAACTTTTTGGTTTTGGTCTCCATGTGTTGCATTCTTGGGACTTTCTGCGTTATGATTCCTTTTTATGTCTTTTCCTGAGAAAAATTATGTCTGAGTCTTTTTTTTTTAGAAAAATCCTAAAATTAACAGTATCTGGCCACTATTTGGAAGTATTCCTTATGCCCTGGAGATCATTAAGCACAGATAAGGCCATTACTCCAGGAGACTGCTTGGAATATCTGCCCCTGAGCTAACTTAAGCAGCATAATTTATATAGGGTAAACAGAGGCTTTTAACAAACTCTGACTTCCCAGGAGAATATGTTAGATTCAAGGTCTCTTTTTTAGGCTTAAAGGTCTCTGAAAACGTAGTTTAAAGATAGGGGGTCGGTCATACAGGGTACACCCTGGAGAAATAGAACTCAATGAGATAGGTTGACTAAAATCAACTTTTCCTACTTTGTAGCCTAGATGATGAAACAAATAGAAGTTAGATATTAGTATTTGCTATTCATAAAAAGACCGGTCCAGATGTTTTCTGTTTGTCTGGGGTGTTTTCAGACTGCAAACACTGCCATCCTAAAAGCAGGCCGTCCTATATTAAATGTGTTTGCTTTGGAGGAGACCGTCTCTAGATTCTTTACATTGGAGTTACGGGGAATATAACCTATTCTGATTGTATTTTCTAATCGTAACTGAGCTTGTAACCCTGGGCATGGAATAATAAATCAAATGCAGATTCTGTACCACTTGGATAATCATTAGTCTGACTTTGTTCTGTGAAACCTGTAGAAATAAAATAAAGGTGAACCTGGCTGCTAGTGAGTCAGAGCCACAGGAGTAGCCCGATCTGCTCAATTCCCCCAACCATCGCCTGACTCCCCTCCCCTTGCCGACTCCTTATTTCTTCTGAGGGCTATCCTGTCATCAACGACCCTAAGACCATCAGCCCAGGAAGGTCCCGCTGCCACCGGGAAGACACCCCGCCCTCCGGGCCTCCTACGCGGCAGTGGGAGCCTTGAGTTTCAGGGTTTGTGGCTTTTCCTGCTGTGAGGGGTCGCAGGCATTTGAGCTAGAACGGCGCCCCCTTGCGTTCCTGCAGCAGCATACCATCTACCTGGAAACTAACTGCTGCTCTCTGGGTTTCTCTGGAGTTTCTGGTTTAGAAAGACAGGAGGTAGCCGTGTCGTATAGCACCGGGGGGCTTCTGCAGACTGTATCGTATTTGGTGGCTCCAGGAGAGCCTGCCGGTTCGTGGAAGGACCTGAGGGCTATAGCTGAGATTTTTTAACAAAGGAATCCCAAGCACATGGTATCGGAATGGACTGCCGGGGCTCCTAGAACTTCCTTCCCCCCCAACTCCAGGCTAGATATGACCCAAAAGAGAAGCGACCAGCAAACATATGGAATCTGGAAGATGGAGGAGCAGCAGCCGTGGCCACATGGAAAGGTCACTGTGGTGAGAGATGACAGAGTGTCTCCTTCTCACCCTGCAGTCAATAGTCTATCTAACCCCATGGCCGTCTTGCATACGGTCCCAGAAGCACCCTGGCTTTACTAGGTGCAAGCCCAGAGCAGAACCCTTCTGTTCTCCCAGCTCTGTCTGGCCCTGTATCTAACACCAAGTGGGGGGTTGGGAGGGACACTTGGCTCCCTATATCCCAGAATGCTCTTGTCCCACTTCAAGAGGCCTGCCAAGGGGCTTCCCTAAACTCAGCAATTTCTGCTTTCAGTCTTCCATTTCCGTTCTCTGAAATAGTTGCATAAAGTTTGGCGCCTATAACAAAGGTCTCATTTCAAACGCAGAAGGGTGTGTTTTCCTACAAAGAACCCTGGCACAGACAGGACAGGACTGCCTCCCAGGCCTGAGAAACTCAAGTAATGGCTTCACACCTGAGGGCAACCAGGGCTTTCAGGGGCATGGCCTCATCCCATGTTTTACTGGCCCAAGACCGCTGTGGTTGGTCTCCAACTCGAGGTATAAGCTGGCAGTTTCACATCTGGCAGGAAGAGGGCTTCACGAAGTTCCTCAAGCCTGCCTGTGGGAACTGGCCCTGTTTGAGTCATGTGCTGTCCATGAACTGGGTGTGCAGTACCTCAGCCACAGTCTGTAGTCCTTCAGAGGTGTTATAATGGCAGGACACTAAGGGACCAGGCTGCTGCAAGCCTGGAATTGTTGTGCTACTTCTTGGTTTTCTTAGAATCTACACTTCATTTTTTTTAAGATTTATTTATTTTCTGTATGTGAGTACACTGTCGCTGTCTTCAGACACGCCAGAAGAGGGCATCAGATCCCATTACAGATGGTTGTGAGCCACCATGTGGTTGCTGGGAATTGAACTCAGGTCCTCTTGAAGAGCAGTCGGTGCTCTTAACCTCTGAGCCATCTCTCCAGCCTGTACCAACACTTCTTGCTGCTGATGTTCCCTCTCTGTGGGGCTGAGGCTCCTTCTCTAGTGTTGTGTGGCTTTTCCTATAGAGACACAAACAAACATCTGTAGGGCAATGACAACAGACCAGAGAAACAATTCTCCATTAAGCTTGATGAACCGATGAGTTTATTGGGGTTCATGGGTGACCATTCACCAAAGCTGTATCTATCAAGCCCCCTGAACGACTTGCAGGCAGTGAATGCTCAGAAAGTCTCCTCTCCTCAGCAACTGTAGCTGTTTATCTAACCTTGGGGTGGGGCCTTGTGTGTCTTGTAACTTTCTGAGCTTCCTGAGCTTTGTGAGTTTCCTTTACTTTTTTCAATCTTATGGACCCCCCCCCCCATTCTCCCTTGACAAGCAAAAATTTCAGTTCAGTGGAAACAGCTACCCAACCCTTGAAGCCTACCTCTTCTTCTTCTGCCCCTGCAGAAGAAAAATGTAGCTGTTTAGCTGTAAAATGACATTGCCATCAGATTAACTGTGCTAATTTTTAAGAGGCCATTTGGAGTAGCCTGGGTGACTAATGATGTTCTCTGATAGAACAAGGGGTTGGGGGAGGGTCAGGACCCTCATCTGAGAGTTCTTGTCCCCCAAGCCGTTTGTATCCAACTTTGCCCTCATTTCATGAGGTCTTGGTTGCCTGTGGTCTTGGGATGTGAGAGAGTAGATAAGCAGGGGGTGTTAATGGAAGAGGGCTTCGTCTATGAGGCTGTTGGGGAAGCTACCATCCACACTGTGTGAAGACTTTCCAGTGTAGCTTCTTTGGTGTCCCTCACCCCCCCCCAAAGATCCCACCAGTAGTTTCTCACACATTTTCTGTAAACAAGCCCAGTAAAGTCATTGGTTCTTCAGGGTGAACTTTGGTGAAATCTCACTTCGGTTTGTGGTTAGGACCATAGGAGTGTGTGTGTGTGTGTGTGTGTGTGTGTGTGTGTGTGTAACATTGCTTACATCTCTCCAGGGAAGGAATTAGGAATTCTCTACCTGGACTTGCAGTAGCGGAGCTGGTAGACCCCAGGGCTAGCGGCAGGAATGGTGGCTGAGACAGCTCCAGCTGCAGCAGAATACGGAGCCAGACTCTGGCCACTATGATGTCTATGAGGGAATGGACACCAGGGCAGGTTTTCATTTGCTGGCCACTTCTTGGTGGCTCACGGCTGGAACCCTCCCTGATTTGCCTTCTGACCAAGGCAGCTGCGGCCCCAGGCCACTCTCTCCCCGCTTCCAGTCACTGGATGAAGATTGGATGGACACCCAGACTGGTCTCAAGCTTACAAAACTGTGAAGGTTGTGGCCTCAGGCTCTTGGTCACACCTAGGTCAACAGTATGGGTCATTCTGTCCAGCCCTGTCCCTTCCTCCTCTATCTGAAGCCCCCTCTCTGTACCACTTTGATATTCCTCCCAAAGATGAAACTCAGAGTCAGGTCCTGGGAAGTTGCCAACAGAGGCCAGAAGAAGGCATCCGATCTCCCGGAACCGGAGTTACAAGCGGTTGTGAGCTGCCAAGCAAATCCTGGGAACTGAACTAGGGTCCTCTGAAAGAGCAGTCTGAGCCTGCTCTCCAGCGCCACACTGCGGCTCTATTCAGAATCACAGGCTATCTGCATTTTAAATGGTTACACAGGCCAGGTACCTCTTACGGTTTTAACCCACTGGAGGAGGTCTTTTGGGCACTTATAGCCAGCGTGCTGAGGAACACAGTCACCTGTGCTGGCTCTTGCTCTAGAGTTCTTACTGGGTCTCCACAGGACAAGTCTCCACAGGGGACGTTTGACAGTGTTCAACTGTCTTGGTTCTTTTTCTCTCCTCCAAAGAACCAGTTCAGAACTTGCTGTGAAGGTTTACCTTCCTGGCCTCTCCTTGCCCCACCGTGGGGCATCCGTCTCAGAAGGGAGGCAGGTACAGTGGATGCGAGCACGTGTGTTCCCTGGCACACATGTGTGTCCAGTTGTGAGTCTCACAACACAGCAAAGAATAATCTCATCCCATTATAGGTTGTGTATGTTCATATCCACATGTCTTTATAAGTTTATTTTTTAAAAATCTTTTAAAAAGACAAATTTTTTTGGGGGGGGGATTAGATTCTGTTTCTATTTTTTTTTTAAAGGTTTTTCGAGACAAGGTTTCTCTGTGTAGCCCTGGCTGTCCTGGAACTCACTCTGTAGACCAGGCTGGCCTCGAACTCAGAAATCCACCTGCCTCTGCCTCCCAAGTGCTGGGATTAAAGGCGTGGGCCACCACCGCCCGGCCTGTTTCTATTTTTTAATTATGTGTATATCTGTGTGCCTGTGTGTGGGTATATGCTGTTGATTTTCATTCAAAATGTTGTCCGAGCTTTTGGGCCCTGGGGTCAACTCAGCTCTCAGGATGATGTTGTACCCGCAGTAGCATTCCACAGGATGAAATGAGTGGACAGTGAGTGGGCGGTTCTCAGGGTGACGCCAGCTGCTTTTCTTACAACTTTCTACAATGTCTTTCCACCACCGAGTTTTGTTACAATGTTTCTGGCACTCTTGAGCCTGAACCTCATCCAAATCTGGCCCTCTGCCTGTTTTTGTAAATAAAGTTTGTTTTTTTTTTCTTCACACAGCCATGCAGGTCCACTAACAGACCCTCTAGTTGGCTCTTCCTAATACAAAGGCAGTGTCAGCACCGGGACAGAGTAGTTACTGTGCTCTGTAGAGCCAGTCCCGGTGCTCAGTGCTAAGACTTCTCCTTCTGCAGCTTCCTTTGTTGCGTTTCTCACTCATAAGTCCCATGCAGAGAGCCATCAGATCACCACGTTTCTGTGGTTTTCTTTTTTGCTACGAAAGCAGGGACTTTTTAAATCTTGGGCATAATGTCCTTTTAAAAAAAATTAAAAAACTTCTTGTGCTGAATATTTCCTTCGTCAGAAGTGAGGCGACTTTCTGGCGAGGTCAGCACACGCTGCATCTGAGTTTTATGGATGGTGCCCATCATTTTTTTATGGATGGATATTTCATAAATGCCATTGTAATGTATCTTGGAAGACGCGATGTGGCCTTCCTGTAACCTGTGGTTCTTCTCTAGAAGAGAAGAAACCACTTGGGGCCACACAGCCCAGACACTTCATGGGCATGCACAGTTCACTGGCCGGTTCACCTTAGATGATGTCCCCACAGGGGGACTGGGCTACTTGGAACCAGAGGCCAGTCCGCTTATCAGCTGGCCATGCTGCAATTACTGTCTTATGAAATATTAACTGTTCATGGTGATTTCAGTTAATGAGATGTCTTAGGGAAGGAGCATGCGCAGACAGCATGGGGGCGGGGTATCACTTCCTTACCTGTTACGATGGGTCTGGGTATCTCTCCTGGGAGTCGCAGCTCGTTCTCTAATCTACCATTCCGTGAGCCCTAGTTGTCAGTCTCTGGGAACTAAGCAGTGGACAGGGAAGCCATCTGGGTACCCGCGCAGCATGCAGCCTAAGAGAGCAGAGTCACTGCACCAGTGACCACATGCACGTTTGTCCAGCCTGTGACCCGCCTTGCCACAGTTCTGGAGGAGAGACAGCCCGCTCGACCTGTGGCATCATTCCTAACAACATTTCATGAGTACTGTCCCTGAAAACAGTACATCTTTGCCCTGGCTCCATCCAGACTGGTGTGGCTACATGGGGAGATGTCAGTCGGTATGGTGAACTTCAGCAGGCTGGTTGCCTCATCTAGGGCAGGGAAGCCACAGAGCAGCCGTAGAAGGACCGTCAATAGTACCTGCTGAATCAGGGTCTGCACAGAGAACTAGTATCCTGGGGAAGAAATGAGGAAGGAAGCTGCTGCTTAGACACGACTTCCTGGGCAGATCCCTCACTACCTACATCAGAGGTCATACATAGACCAGTCCTCTCCACGTTCCCGGCACTGAAGCCGATGGCTCAGGGATTCTGCTGGGCACCGCCTTACTGGTGTTGGGAATGGAGAGGAAAGAGTTTGATTTAGGGATGAAGGAAGTCTCAACCATCTTCCCAGGAGTCAGTACAACCTTTATCACGCTCAGGAACCAGGCACAACATATTCAGGGTAACTGGGGGTCGGGTGGGTAGGGTGGGCATCTTTGGAACTAACCCTGGTGCAGGCTCAATTTAGGATCGATCTTTCTGGTTCTTTCTGTCCCCTCTGTTGTGTGACATATTTGGAGGGACCCTGAGACTGCCCTTGGAGTTTGTCTTTGGTTTTGGGTGCTCCTAAGTGTGAGGGTAGCTGTAAGGGACATTTAACAGGAGGGTACCGAGGCAGGAGTGTGTCCGGTCGGCTCAGGTCCAACAGGGGCTCCCCGCCTCTCTATCCCAGGCTGCCTCTTTCGTGGTTCAGGGCTTGAAGATAAGGCATATACAAATCTCTTCCTACACTCTGTGGAGGATCTGATCCCCGGGACCGCAAGTGCCTTTCTAGGTGTCTTGAAGAGGCTGACGCGCAGGTGGAGCATCTCAGGAGGCCCAGCACATGCTTGGCTCCACGTTCTTAGTTGCGGCTGCCACGCAATCAGGCTGAGTGACGCAGAGTGCGGGGCGGGTCTTTTAGGCTGCGCCTAGCGGTGAGATGCGGTTGAGGGCAGGCTGTCCTGCGCAGCTGCGCGTGTGACGCTGGGGTGCGCGGCCTCTGAGCAGGTACCCGGGCGGCGCTGGTAAAGGGGCGCTGACCCAGTATCTGGAGAGGAAATGGGGGTTCAGTTGGGGGAAGGGAATACTGGCTGCAGGGGCTCAGGCGGGGAGGGAATGAGAAGAGCAAGGTGCAGGGGCGCGGGTTAAAGTGTCCTTTGAGTGTGACAGAAGTGTAAAGATTAAGTCTCTGACCTGGGTGCAGGTATGACCTGGAGTGCTCTCTGGTGCAGATTTCAGCCTGAGTCGGGGGAGGGTGTGTCCTGGTATAGAGGCGTAAGTTGGGGTGTTGGGAGGCTGCAGGGTTTAAGCTGCATCGGGACAGTCACTGGAGCTAGTACATGCACAGGCTCAATGTCAGCCAGTGTGATCTGTGCCCACGCGCTGTAGATCCCAGCTCTCCGCGCTTGCTCTGGCCACTGACAGGGAACCGGGGGGCATCAGCTTCTGTGTTCTTTCCTGTGTTTAGCTGTTTATAGCATCCGACCTGCTTTCCAGGCCGGTATGTCCAGGATGTTTGGGAGCAAGCAAAGCACTACCGGGAAGCCTTCGAGCTGCAGAGTTTTCAGTGAGTGAGGTAAAGAAGGTGCCACATGTCCCAGCCACCAGCCAGGGCTCATAAGCCCTCCCTCCTAATAAAGTCCCTTATGTTTTCTGGTACTTTTGTTTGCTGGGGTGGGTGTGGTGGCCAGAAACTCACTGGGTCCTGGGGTCTTGAGCTACTTGGAAGATGTGCCCCAGAGCCCAATCGGATTTGGGTATCCATCCATTCCTAATGGGGTTATCTCAGCAGGGGCTGGACTCAGGTGTCGGAGGCCATAGTGGAAGGTGTGCCACCCCCGTCCCCCACATCTGAGCCCTTTCTTGTCTATACCAGTGTGTGTGTACAGAGCTCAGATTTGGAGGTTCATCCCACATGGGGGTCTTACTCTGTTCCAGCCTGCTGTCTTCTGCAGGTAGATCTAATGACCCAGATAAAACATTTATAGATGCCATGTTGTATCCAGGGTATAGGCTATGACAAGTCCTCTCTGTCTGTTTGTCCATTCATTCTTTTCCCTTTGGAGTACTCTGGACACACACACACACACACACACACACACACACACACAGACCCCACCCCAAACACACATGGACCACACACGAACCACAAACACACTCATACACACACATACATGGACCACACACATACACATGGACCACACACTCACCACACACATACACACACACACACACGGACCACACACATGGACCACACACTCACACTCATATACATACACATACACAGACCACACACACACATATGGACCACACACTCACACTCACACACATACACGGACCACACACACACACACACACACACCATACCTCTATGCCAACTGCTTGTGGAGAGTTTTAGCTGTCAGCTAGTGTGGGCAAAGCTTCGTGTAGATGGCAGTGGCTAGGAAACCCCACTGAGGGCATCATCAGTCTTCCTGACTCTGTCTATAGCCTTTTACTCTTTTTGGGAAGAGGATGGGGAGAGAAAGAGGCTGATCCAAGGTCATAGTGCGGCCTAAGGGAAGTGGTGGACTCAGGTGGGTGGACATCTCCGCGCTGTTTGCAGCTGGGTTTCGAGGGCATCTGCAGAGATCCAGTGGCGGTGCTGAGACAAGAGCTGTCTGAATGTGACTCTGGATTCAAATACCTCGGAGTCCTTAGGACAGGCAAAGCCATCAGACGCTCATACTGTGTACTCACACCTACTGCCCCCCTTGCATCTGGAGGGCAGGCTCTCTCAGTGGCTGCCTTTAGTCTAGGTTTCTCCACACTGGCTGCTGTATTAGTTCCTTTTCTTCTGTTGTCAACTGGGCTTCTTTGTTTCTCCGTAGATGGGAGACGACTGAGTGTATAAGACAAGGCTCTGAAAAGTTGCATAGGGACAAGCCATCTCCTGGACTCTTGCAGCTGTGCAAGAGGCTAGCCCAGTATTTATTCTCACAGCCCTGGGGTTAGGCCTGGGGAGAGAATGGCAGATCGAGGGGCCAGAGCATCTCTCTGAAGCCAAAAATCTGTAGCCACAGTTCAGCTCCAAGAGCCCTGGAGAGATCAGGGAGGTGAGCAGCTGGGCAGAGGAATAGGTTTAGGAACTGGTGCCAGAGAAGTGATGTTGAGCGCAGGGAGGAACTGAGGTGTGTGGTCAGTTTTGGCCCCTTGGAAACCCCTCCTGTTTGCCTTTTGGAGCAGGAGGGTGAGGGGCCTCTGTCATCAGAGGACAGTGTAAGGGGGTCATCTCAGGCCCAGGGAAGTCCTGTAGAAATAAATACCTTTGGTTTCCTTGGGATTTTTTTTGTTTGTTTGTGTTTCTCAAGACAGGGTTTGTAGCCCTGGCTGTCCTGGAACTCTCATTGTAGACCAGGCTGGCCTTGAACTCAGACATTAGCCTGCCTCTACCTCCCCAGTGCTGGGATTAAAGTCCCTACCCATCTTCATCATAGTTTTTTTTTTTTTTTTTATTCATCCATCAGTGAACAGAGGACAGGGGTGAATTCTGTTATTTTAGCAACTATGGACAGCAGCCCTAATGCTGGATGCTGGAGGCTTTGGCTTTGGAATTGGGTTTTCTGACACTCCTAACAGGAGGACCTCAGGATCTGATGGTAATTCAAGCATCTGGAGTTTCTTTGGTTTTGCCTGGATTTCTCTTTCAGTTAGTTTACCACACCCTGCTCACTTTCCTTAGTTGTTAACTGAAGAAAACTGGCAGCGTTTTGTGGCCTCCACAAAAGCAGAGCCAGGGAGGAAGGGTTTGCACCAACAGACTGACTGTCATTAGCGGCAGGCTTCTCAGGATGGAGCATTGTGAGACTCCCAGAAACCTATTTTGTGGGCCGGCAAGGGCTTTTGCTTTCCTTTTGGAAAATGAAAGAGGTCCACTGATTTCTGTAATCGCGAGATGCAGAACTGCAACGCATGTAGTAGTCACAGGAATTGGTCTCTCTTCACTGATCTGGGTTCTTAGTCAGGGAACCGGAGAGTGGTGGAGTTTCAGAGATACCTGGGATTGCCCCCATTAGGAACGGGCTCCGACGGTCCTCAGATACATGTGTGCTTGTAGACTGTCTAAGGGCTCTGGCAAGTGATGGGGCTCTGGAAGCTTGGAGAGATGTCCAGGCAAAGGGAAAATAGATGAAGACTCCAGAGAGGAAACAGGGGGGTGTGTCCGCTCAGAACCACAGTTTCATCTTCCTCTTTCAGATGTATTTCAGGACCTCTCTCTTGGGGTGTTTTTTTTCAGAACCCCCAGCCTCACAAATGAGAAGAGACTTCCCTGAAGGTATCTAGAGGTCTCTCTCCTTGGGTGAATCCGGAGCCGTGAAGGATGGAGTCCTTGGACCGGAGAAGAACAGGCTCTGAGCAAGAGGAGGGTTTTGGGGTGCAGTCCAGGAGGACCACTGATCTGGGCATGGTCTCCAATCTCCGACGAAGCAATAGCAGCCTTTGCAAGAGCAGGAGGCTTCTGTGCCCCTTCAGCAGTGAGAAGGTAGGCTTCTGATGGCTAGCCTGCAACATTCTAAGGCCACAGAGGCAGCCCAGTGGTCACTATTGGTTGGTTAGGTGATCCATTCATGCTACCTTGGCCTGTGTCAGGAAAGGAACATCCGATGTTGGAGACTGCAGCCTCTGGCCTCAGAACAGCTCAGACAGGCAGGTCAGCTAGAGAAGCAAAGTGACTTAGACTTAAGATAGGTAAACATTTTATTATTATATTGTTAGGGTTAGGTAATCTAAAGCCTCATCGATGAGTCTTGGGATGTCCCAGATGGGCTGCATTCCTGTACCATGAATGATTAACCACAGAATAGGCTGCCCAGCACAGATGGCCTCTCCTGAGATAAGATATCTCCCATTCATGTGGCTATCTTCAGGCTGTTCCTCCAGTGGGGGGATTTTCTTATCTTGTTCCTAGACTTTGGGGTCTGCTGCTAAAGCAGATGGTTTATGGTCTAGTTTCTGAGTGGAGACAAAAATGGGATGAATAGACCCCTTCAGAGTGATCATGTGGAAAGTACGTGGAAAGTGTGTGGCCAGGAAGGCTGGAGGGTGTCTTCAAAGCCAGGTGCCAGATTTTCACCTCAGATGTGCCTTTCTTTCTCTCTCTTTCTTTCTTTCTTTCTCTCTTTCTTTCTTTCTTTCTTTCTTTTTCTTTTTTTTTCTTTTTTCTTTTGGTTTTTCAAGACAGGGTTTCTCTGTGTAGCCCTGGCTGTCCTGGAACTCACTCTGTAGTTCAGGCTGGCCTCAAACTCAGAAATCCACCTGCCTCTGCCTCCCAAGTGCTGGAATTAAAGGTGTGTGCCACCACCACCTGGCTAAGATGTGCCTTTCATACTATACCATCCCCCAAGGAAAGTAATGGGGACAAACACACTGAGCATGAAATATCCCCAAGAGAAAATGATTCACAGGATCGTCCTTGTGTTCTGGGTACACACCCCAGTATGAGCCCCCAGCCAGGGTGCTTGTAAGCTTTGAGGTAGCTTTGGGTGTCTCAATGGCAGCTGGTCAGGGAGCAGAGAGATGTCTAAGGGAGGCCTGAGGTAGATGGGTTCATGTCAACATGTTCTTTTTAACTCCCAGCAAGAAAACCTTAGCTCATGGATTCCCGAGAACATCAAGAAGAAGGCATGTGTGTACTTCGTGGAAAGTTCCAAACTCTCGGATGCAGGGTAAGCGGTGTGGCTTCAGTTAAGGTCTCTGTGGCATCTCTCCTGGCACAGTGTGACTGGTAAAGGGGACCCACTCATCCTGCCTCAGCCAGGGTCAGGGAAAGAGCATCTGGTGTCCATGCCAGGCTGAGAATACCCAAGTCTATTCATCTCATCTCAGGAGACACTTGTGGGACATGTCCAGGCCATCTCTTTCATGCCTGGGGCGTGGGATGTGCTTTGCAGATAGGTCAGCCTAGGGCAGAGGGTCAGATGACCTGTCCAGGGAGCTGTCCAGAGTCTTGCTGTGACTGAGTAGCAGCAACATTCAGACCAAGCCTGGTGGGTCAGGGCTCCCACCAGGTCTTGAAAGCCTCTCGATTTCCAAAGAATCAGGGAACCAGGGACTATAGGGACCTTGGGGAAGTCCCCAGGTCAATGTCCTTAAAAGCCACATCCTACTGCTGCAAGGTCTCTGGGCAGTCCTTTCTCCCTTCACTTAGCCCACAGCGACAATATGGTCTCTAAGACCAGACTGGAGGCATTCATGGTCACTCTAAGCAGTTGGTTATTTCTGTTCCCTGGGTGGTACGGCCTGTTGGTCGGTCAGAGGCACTATGGGACAAATGGAGATCCCGTCCCTGTTCCTAGGAATGCAGTCCCCTTAGACACTGTTCTCCAACATGGGGAGCCATGAGACAGAACTGGGGACTCTGAAGCAGTGGGTATCTCCCAAGAGCTCTCCCTCCCTCTCAGTATGTTATTCTTCTTATGCCTTCATGGGCCAAGACTGTCTAATTCTTTAATTTCTGGGTTGTCTGTCACAGCACAGCTTTCTGTTCTGGGCCAGGATGGAGAAGACCATGGGAGTATGAAGCTTATTTTACCAAACACATGAGAGAAGGGACACAACTTGACATTGCCTGGTGGGATCCTTGGCTTCATTTGGCCAAGATACAATACCCAGGGGTAACTCAGGGGTATGTGTGTCCCTGCCTTCAACTAATGCTAACCACAAAGTGAGACCACACAGTGTTCCTTAAGATCCCTGCAAGCCAAGCCAGTGGTTGGTGGCATATGCCTTTAATCCCAGTAGTCAGGAGGCAGAGAGAGAAAGGTGGATCTCTTAGTTCGAGGCCAGTCTGGTCTACAGAGCAAGTTCCAGGACAGCCAAGGCTATACAGAGAAACCCTGTCTTAAAAAAACACACATAGCTGGGCAGTGGTGGCGCACGCCTTTAATCCCAGCACTTGGGAGGCAGAGGCAGGCGGATTTCTGAGTTCGAGGCCAGCCTGGTCTACGAGTGAGTTCCAGGACAGCCAGGGCTATACAGAGAAACCCTGTCTCGAAAAAATAAAAAAACAAAAACAAAACAAAACAAAACAAAACACACATAAATCAAAACAAAACAAAAACAAAAAAGATCCCTGCAAGCCAAAAGTTCCCAGAGTCTCTTCTAGGGGGTCTATATGATTTTTTAGGGTGGGGGCAGGGAATATAACCCCCCCTTATGATAATGGTGGAGAAATTGAGACAGAAACTCCCAAACTCAGCTGTAGAAGGGAGATGTGCTTGCTTCTCCTGGCCCGGCCATCTTCTCCTGCTTGTCTGGGTTCCAGACTCCATCTTTTTTTTTTCCTCAGCTGTACCCTGTCTTTTGTAAGGCTCAGTCTATCGTGCTTGCCTCTTCCCTTTTTGTACTGGTCTCTTAGTGTTTGTGTTCAACTTTTTTTTTCTTTTTTTTTCCAGACAGGGTTTCTCTCTATAGCCCTGGCTGTCCTGGAACTCACTATGGCCTCAAACTCAGAAATCCACCTGCCTCTGCCTCCTAGGTTGTGTTCAACTTTTAATTTGAAAATAATTACAGTTTTAAAGGAAAGATACATCAGGCCCAAAGGTGTACACCATTACCACTGGCTTGGCTTGCAGGGATCTTAAGGAACACTGTGTGCTCTCACTTTGTGGCTAGCATTAGCTGAAGGCAGGGACTCACATACCCCTGAGTTACCCCTGGGTGTTGTATCTTGGCCTAATGATGCCAGGGATGCCACCAGGTAGTGCTAAGCTGTCTCCTTTCTCTCTTGTCTTTGGTAAAATGAACTTTCATATCCCCATGATGTTCTCCCATCCTGGCCCAGAACAGGAAGCTCTGCTCTGTATCACTGTGGTGCTGTATCAACAGTGAGAGTTCAGTCTCGGTCAGAGTGCTCAGCTTGTGTCCTTTCAACACCCATGGGGCATGTGCAACCACTCGCACAGGATGCACACAGCTCCATTCCCACAGAGATGGCCTTGGACTTCCCCACTGTGGTCTGTCTGGTCACAGACACACGCACACACACACCTCCACCATTTCTCTCACTCTAGCCACTAGTCATCCAATCTTCACGTAAAAACGTCTATAAATCTGTCCTTTGGAGAATGTCATATGAATGGAGTCGTTTGCCTCTGGGTCCACACCACCCACAGTGGAGGCCTGTGCCCTTTGACAGGTAGCCCTTGAGATCCATTGACACTTCTTACTCTTAAGCAATTTTCTAATTGTTTATATTTGAAGTAATACTTTGTAAATAATAACTATGTCCTTGCTTTTGTTTGTTTGCTTTGTTTTTAAATTAATTAATTAATTTCATGTATGTGAACATACTGTCACTGTCTTCAGACACACTAGAAGAGGGCATTGGATCTCCATTACAGATTGTTGTGAGCCATCATGTTGTTGCTGGGAATTGAACTCAGGACCTCCAGAAGAGCAGTCAGTGCTCTTAATCTCTCCAGCCTTTGTTTTTTAAATCCCATTTCTCTCTCTCTCTCTCTCTCTCTCTCTCTCTCTCTCTCTCTCTCTCTCTCTCTCTCTCTCTCCCTCCCTCCCTCAGACTCACAGATCTTCCTGCCTCTGCCTTCCCAGTGCTGGGACTAAAGGCATATACCTGGTGTAGTCTCTACTTTTTAATGGATATATTTAGATTGTTCACATTTAATATAAATTGTTGCTGCATTCGGGCTGAAGTCTGCCATGTTGTTTCTGTTTTCTGTTTTCTTTCTGTTTCAGTTCACCTTCTTTGTAGCTGCTGTGGTTATTAAAGTTACATAACAAAGTGTGTCCTCATCCAGGAGTGTTGACAGGCTGAGAGTTACAGTAGCACATAGAAATACTTCCTTCCACCGCTCCTCACTTACAGTTGTTGAGAATACCATGCTTGATCCAGTTCAACCATCACAGTTTTAAAAACTCAAGAGAAATGGATTGTACTGAGTCGTGTTACTCTTTCTACTGGTTCCTCCTCCTGGTATTCACAGTGTCTTCATTTGTGCTTTTACTTTTGATTAGACATTTAAAACAGACAAACAAATAAACAAACAAACACCAGGATCTCATATAGCCCAGGTTGGCCTTGAACTCCCTATGTAGCTGAGGGTGACCTTGAATTTAAGATCCCTCTGCCTCTCCATCCTGAATACTTGGGTCACAGGGGCACCACTATGCCTGGTTCATGCAGTGCTGGAGACTGGACCCAGGCCTTTGAGCATGCTAGGAAGCACCCTGTCAACTGAGCAACATACCCACCCCGTTCACCCACTTTTACCATTCTTTGGAGTTGTTCATCTGTTGACAAATCTCCTTATTGGTAGTTCAGCTAAAAGCATTCCTTCACTTCTTCATTCTTGAAGGATAGTTTTGCTGGCTATAGAATTCCGGGTTGTAGGTTTGGTTTTTGTGTTTGTTTGGTTGGTTGGTTTTTTTTTTTTTTCTGAGACAGGGTTTCTCTGTGTAGTCCTGGCTGTCCTGGAACTCACTCTGTAGACCAGGCTGGCCTCCAACTCAGAAATCCATCTGCCTCTGCCTCCCAAGTGCTGGGTTTAAAGGCGTGCTCTACCACTGCCCGGCCTGGGTTGTAGTTTTTAATCTTTCAGCATTGAATCTCCTTATGGTTTCCGTGGCTTCTGATAAGAAGTATGTTGTTTTTAAGCTGGGTGGTGGTGGTACATACCTTTAATTCCAGCACTTGGGAGGCAGAAGCAAAACAAGTGGCTCTCTATTGGGCTGCAGAGATGGCTTAGCAGTTTTGAGCACCAGTTGCTCTTCCAAAGTACTAGAATTTGGGCTGGGGAGATGGCTCAGTGGTTAAGAGCACTGGCTGCTCATCCAGAGGTCCTGAGTTCAATTCCTAGCAACCACATGGTGGCTCATAACCAGCTATAATGAAATCTGGTTCCCTCTTCTGTCTGATGATCTCTTTTGTCATGCAGGCATACATGCAAATAGAGTCCTCATATACATAAATAAACAAATTTTAAAAACCCACAAAAGCAAAATATCAGGACTCAATTCCTAGGACCCACATGGTGGCTCATCTCTGTCTCTAGTTCCAGTTCCTGGGACTCAGATGCCTTCTTCTGGCCTGTACCAGGCACACATGCACGCAAAATACGCATACCGATGAAAACAACCAAATCAAGAGGCTTGCCAGGGAGCACTGATTGTTCTGGAGGTCCTGAGTTCGATTCCCAGCAACCACAAGGTGGCTCACAACCATCTGTAATGGGGATCCGATGCCTCTTCTGGTGTGTCTGAAGACAGTGACAGTGTGTTCACAATCAGCAAGTCCCACGTCTGTCTCATTGATGTCAAGCTTTTTCTTCTTCTTTGGTTTTGGAAGTTTGACTGTGTCATTTTTTTTTTTTTTAGCATGTGTCCCCCTGGGCTTACGGAATTTGTCGCTCATTCAGACTCTTGAATCTGTAGGTTTGTTTGTTTGTTAAGCAAATTGTGAGAGTCCATGTAAGAAGGCTGTGAACTTACTCTGGATGGGGTAAGAACAACTTACTCTTGTTCTTCCCACAAGTTGGCCTTCTAGAGAGAATTGCATAAACCATGATAAGGGAAGAGGCTGGAAGTGAATGCTCTTAGCATGTCTACATCGTCTCTGAGAGAAAGGCAAAGGCCTAGGAGGAATATTCTTGGTTTTTTTTTTTCCCACATGACCAAAGACGATAAGGCAGAACACCAGGTGTCATTCCCTCTCAGTACTTATTGTCACTTGCACTAACTGTAAACATCACCTCCTGTTTTATTTGCTTTAATAACAATGACAAGAAATGCTATACTTTCTCCACCTTTGAGCTCAAACACCTTGAGTTCCTTGGTTACTTTTGGCATTTCCTTCAATCCATGGAGACTTAGCCTGGCTAGCCGAGGGGGGCTTAACAGGAAGTTTAGGGAATTCTTTCTTTACACAGCTTTATAAGATTGTTTTATCTTTTCCCTCTAGGACTTGATGACCCTGCAGGTCTCACTGGCTCTGTGTCTACGCGTTTATATTCTGGTTTCTTTTCTCTCTTGTAGTTATTACCCTTGACAGAGCTGAGAGTTCTGGTTGCTGTTCTCTCTGTCTTTCTGGAAGCTTCCGTTTGTATCCAGGGTGGTTTTAGTCGCTCGTAGAAGCATTTTTAACCTGGATGCTTTAAAGTCCTTACCAGATGACTCCCACACCTGTGCTATCCTGGTGTGGGTGGCTGTCCTAGCAGTTGCACCGTATGACTGAAGATTTTTCTAGCCTTTGAGTTTTGCTGGTCCTGAACACTGTCTGAGGGAGGAAGGGACTTCTAGAACCTCATCATGGCCATGCAGGGAAAGTTCAAAGTCTAGCGTAATGTCTCCTTTGACCTCACTGGATATCCCTATTTGGTTCCTTGCTGATGCCTTCTGGCAGGGAGGGCAACGGTGCCTCATGCCCACTGCCCACATGGCCCCCTTGACACCCAGGAGGGGTGCCTTGTCACTGCTGGGTGAAGTGAATATCCTGGCTCTCCTCTGGTTCCCCTGATGACCCTGTAGAGAGCACCAGAGCCATTTCATTCCCGTGGCAACCCTTGGTCTCTTCACAGGAAGGTAGTGTGCGCGTGTGGCTACACCCATGAACAGCACTTGGAAGTGGCCATCAAACCTCACACCTTCCAGGGCAAGGAGTGGGACCCAAAGAAGCATGTCCACGAGATGCCCACAGATGCCTTTGGTGACATCGTTTTCACAGGCCTGAGCCAGAAAGTGGGGAAGGTGGGTTCGGTCGCTTTCACCCTTTACTGTGTTGACCTCTGGGACACTGTAGCAGGTTTCCTGGTGGGGGGGGCAGGGTGGGGAGAAGATTGAGGAGCTGTCAGGAGCCTAGGTGTATGGAGTTCACTAAACACAGAGGAATGGCATGGGGTGGTGGGCACTGCTCAGGCAAACAAGAGGTTTGTGAGCAGAGGGGAGAGTGTAAGGCTTCCTAAGGGAGATATGAGCTACCACTGAAGGGTCTACTGTCTGTCTGGGTCTTGGGCAGTGGGAATGGGGAGAGGAACCCAGGACCTGGCACAGGTGTGGTGGGGGTGAGGTCTCTGGAAGGGAGGGGGAGATGGAAAAGCCCGTTGTGGGAAGCAGAGGCAGGAGCCACTGCAGCTGGCTGAACAAAGCTACCCGGGACAGGAGATGATAGGACAGGTAGGTACAGGAAAAGGTATAGAAGGAATGTCTTATAAACATCACCTGTCAATAAAAAAGCCGATGGCCAATGAGCTGAGGTAGGACATGGGCAGGAAGAGAGAGGATTCTGGGAAATAGTAAGAGATAAAAGAGAGATACCACGGGAGACAGACCGAGAAGACGGAGATAAACCATCAGGAAGACACTGAGGAGATGTGAAGAACCAGACTGAGACTGAAGGAGAGGTGACTAACCACATGGCAGACATTGAATCGTTTAAATGGGTTAAGTAAGTTACAAGCTCATCGGGGAATGAGCCAAAGCCTGTGGCCTAGGCATTTATTAATAAATATTTAGTCTCAGAGTCATCATTTCAGGAGCAGGACTGGGAAGGAACAACGGATATAATATTTTAACAAGAAGGTCCTGTCACCTGGCCTCAGGTAAGGGAGAGAGGCATAGAGAGGTCTCATTTCTTGTTCAAAGCCATAACAGGCAGAGCAAGACTGGGTTTGCAGCCAATCGAACCCCGGGCCAGGTTCCTAACCTTTCCTTAAGGGTAGTAACAGAGACACTCCCAAGCCAGGGACAGCTAGTGGTGGGGGATCGTATTCATGTTCCACCAGTGACTGGGACACCTGTTGAGAACCATAAGGTATGTCCTGACCTCAATGAAGACCCGTCTGAGTGTGTGTGAACCCACCAGTGATCTTGCTTGTCCTGTAATAAAAGGCAGTTTCTAGAGGAAGGGTTTATTCTGGCTTACGGTCCAGCATGGTGGAGAAGATATGATGGAGTTCAAGGAACTCAAAGCTGTGGGTGTAAGGTTGCTGGTTGCATCTTGGTAGGCCAAGATAGGTCGAGAGATACATAGGAGAGTAGGAGACATAAGTTAGGTTTCACCTTTGTCTTACTTGGGGTTTCCATTGCTGTGAAGAGACACCATGACCAAGACAACTCTCATAAGGGAAAACATTTAACTGGGGTTGGTTTACAGTTTCAGAGATTCAGTCCATGATCATCATGGTGGGAAGCAAGGCAGTGTCCAGGCAGACATGGCGCAGGAGAAGGAGCTGAGAGTTCTACATCTTGATCTGAAGGCAGCCAGGAGGAGACTGTCTCCTGTAGGCAGAGAGGAGGCCCTGATTCCACACTGGGCAGAGCTTAGGCATAGGAAACCTCAAAGCCCATCCCCACAATGACACACTTCCTCCAACAAGGCCACACCTCCTAATAGTGCCACTGCCTATGGCCAAGCATTCTAACACACGATGAGTCTATGGGGGCTATTCCTGTTCAAACCATGACAGCCATGGAAGGCTGGTCCTGGACACCTGCTCAGCCCTTTGAGGGTGGTCTGCATTAGCGTCCTTTGTTGTTGTGCTGTGTCTTGTTTGCTCTGGGACACCTAATGTCTCTTTGGATTTTATGTTCTCTATCATCCTGCCTGTCGTGGGTCCTTCAGATGGATCCTAGTCAAGCTGGATCTCCTCAGACAGTTGACTTAATCGGAAAAGTGCGCCATGGGATGTGGGCTGCAGGGCTAGCATGGTATGCGGTCGGGTTCCATCCCCAGTGCATACGGAACACATGAACACACATACACACAGGGGATGGGGGAGAGGGGAGGAAGAGAGGGGGGAGAGAATAGACGGGATAGGAGGGGGGAGGGGGAAGGAGGAGGAGGGAGAAGGAAGAGGAGGGAGAAGGAAGAGGAGAAAGAAGGAGGAAGAAGGAGAAGGA